TTCCATTAGAAGCCTCTGTCTTCATGCTGAAGCAATTTTCTCAGTCCATCAAAGAACAGCTATGTCTATCTGTTATTAATAGTGACAAGCTAATATATCTTAGCTGAGGGATTTTTTTTTATCTTTCATAGGTATTTTATATGGGAAATACAAAGCATCTATGAAAGATAACCTCAGAATTACTTCATTAGCGAACTTAAAAATCACTGAAAATCTTTAGGGTTTCCCAGAAAACATGATTTTTTTTTCCTATTAGTATTTTTTCCTCTATTCTTTTATAATTGTTCAATAACAGGATGAGACTTTGCATATGTAGAATACCAAAATAACACCTTATTTTAGAAGTTAAAATTAAATAAATGTTACAACTTGAAAAATTAAAAATGTTTGAGGTAGCCTTCAATTAGAGCAACTTCCCATGCTATGTCAATCTAATTCTGAAATCTAGTACATTTTGGATGATTTTATATTTTACTTCTTCTACCTATTTCTTTTGAAAAGAACACATATTTAAAATTCAATTAAAAATGTTCAATGTAAATCTGTGTTCATAAACATGTTTTATCAAAAAAGAATAACTAGTCTTTTTAAAGAAAAAGGGAATTTTCTAGGAAATTTACATACCATACAACACAATGTAGCAAAACGAAGTAGTCATTTCCTGAGTAAAATCAAGATAGTAAACTTCCTAAATGCTTTCTAAACAATTTATGATGAATATTTAAAAGCTAGTACTGTGGTGATGCTGACCTGGAAACCATCACACATCGAAGAGTTAGCGATCAGCAAAAAAGTTGATCTGAGGAGACTCAGTCCTGTGATGTGCTGTGCTGCACATCCAGCATGGCCTTCAAGCTCATGTTGGGCTGCACAAAACCCTTGGCTGCAGGATTACATCAGCTGGTTTATTGTCACAGGGAAGCATACAGGCTCTTCCCACTGGGTACCAGCAATTGCAGAGCCTTTCTGTTCTTTTCTCTATCCAAAAGTGCAGCAAAAAGTTCTTCTGTGAGCATCCTTTTTGTTTGACAGCAGAAATAATGAACAGAGTTATTCTCATTCAAGAAATTCCTATAGTAAATTGGCACTCTTCCCATGGACAAGGTCTGCACAGTCTGTACAGAGCATGTATCAGAGATCTATTCAAAGCTGCACAACTCAGGATTCCCAGCATTTAAAGGGATGTAAGATCATCTGTACTCTTCTTTCTTTCTTTACAGTGTTAGCTCTAATACATAGCATTTTATAGGATACTTTACAGAGCCTGAGTGACTTTTTTATGGGGATCATAACAGGCCAGTATCTCCTAGTGCAAAATGACTACTTAAAATGACTATTTGAAAACACCAGGACTATGTAGACTGCAAATGGAAATCTGAGTTTCTCATAACAGCCTAATTTCTATTTTCCTTTTCTGTATTTATTGAAAGTGCAAGTGCCACTATTTGAGTAAAGGGTTGATGCCCAGCATGTGTGAAGCTACTGCTGAACTTCTGATTGGCTCTGAAATACATTTTCCCTGTTCTCTTCCCAGGAACACTTTCAAGAGGTATCGAGAAAATTATTTTAGACAACCTACTCTTTCCAGTTTTCCGAACTATTTCTGATGTAGTCAAATCCATGCAAATGACATACAAAAATATTCTTTTTGAATCTTAAACATTCTAGACATTTAGTCCAAAATGCCTCTGTAGGAATTACATATAGCCATTATGGGATGTAATTCTGTCCTTAGGGCCCTTCAGTGCTAGCCCTAAAGCTCAAACTGACAATACCAACAGCAAAATTCTTCAGCTGCTTGATTAAGAGACCATAAGACAAGCAAAAGTCAGAACCCGCATTGTTTTTTTATTTTGGCTGTTGCCTATATGCATACTCATTATTAGAAATGCTCAAATAATTGTGTGTTTGCTTCAGAGAAAATATACCCAGCCTGTTACTGCAGAGTCAGTAATATGCTGCAAATTAATACACTGACTTATATCATCCACTCCTCACAATTTTGTATCATCTGCAAATTTGCTGTGAACACTATCTGTCCCCTCCCCCAGGACATCAACAAAGATGTTAACCAGTATTGGTCCCTGTATCAAGACTTGGGGCACACCAGTAGTTCCTTGTCTCCAGCTGGACTTTGTGTCACTTATCACAACCATCTGAGTGCAGCCCCACTTTTCAATCCACCTCATTCTCCACTTAGTTAGTCAATGCTTCATTAGTTTGTCTATGAGGATGCTGTGGGAGACAGTGTTGAAAGCCTTGTTGAAGTCAATATAAACAGTACCCACTGCTCGCCTCTCATCCAAGACAGTCATGTCATCACAGAAGGTTTTCAGGTTTGTTGCTTTCCTCTTCATCAATCTATGCTGACTGCTCCCATTCGCTTTCCTAATTTTCATGTATTTACAAATGCTTTCCAGGTTTAGTTGCTTCCTAACCTTTCTGGGGATCAAGGTGAAACTGACTTCCTGGTTGTTTACCAAATCCTTCTTTCCCTTTGTGAAGATATTTGCTTTTTTCCAGTTCTCAGGTATCTTCCCTGGTCACCATGATTTTTCAAGCATAATCAAGACTAGCCTGACAGTGACACCAGCAAGCTCCCTCAGCACTCATGAATGTATCCCATCAGGGCCCATGGACTTGTGTTTGCCCAGATTGTTTTAATATTCCCTAACCTGATCCTCCTCCACCAAGGTTGTCTTCCTTTCTCCCGGCTTTTCCCAAGGGTCTCAAGGTGCTGAGATTGCTGAAAGCAAATCTTGAAGGTCAAAGTAAAGAAGACACTGGATATCTCCCTCTTCTCCATGTCTTTTGTCAACAGGTCTTTTATCTCAATCCCCATATTTCCCCTAATCTTTTTTTTTGCTGTCAATTTACCTGTAGAAGCCCTTCCTGTTGCTCACCACGTCCCCTGACAGGCTTTCCTAACCCCATCCCTGCACACTTTTCTTTCTCTATTCCTCCCAGGTCACCTGTCCCTTTCACATCTTCTAGGCTTCCCATTTACATTTGAGTTTTGTCAGGAGGGACTTGCTCATCCATGCAGGCATCCTACCACTTTTACTCAATTTCCTGCATATCCAGATGGACAATTTTTTCAACCTGCAGGATGCAATCCTTAAAAATCAACCATTTGTCATCTCCCATGCAATTCTTTGAGAAGCTCCCTGAACAGGAGCTTAATTTAGAGTCACTGCAGCCAACAATGCCACAGCATTCATATCCCTAGACAATTCTTCTTGTTTGTAAGTGTGAGGTCCTACACAGTACCATCCTTCATTGGCTTCTTGATCATCTTTGTCAGGAAGTTATCATACATGCACTCCAGAAACATCCTGCTCATACTGTGTCATGTTGCTTTTCCAACAGATATTGGAATGGTTGAAGTATTTCTTGAAGACCAAGGATGGAAAGATGAAGATTCTTACAGTTGCTTGTGGAAGGGTTCATTTGCTTCTTCTTCCTTATCATGCAGTCTGTAGCAGACACTCACCATATTCATCTGCCTGCTAACCCTGATCCATAAGCCCTCAACTTGTTATCCATATGTCCCAAGGCACTGTTCCATGCATTGTCACTGCTCTCTCACAAGCCAAGTTACTCCTCTCTTCACCATCTCAGATAGCCCTTTCAGAAGAATCAATACCCAATCACTTCAATGTCCCAACTGTGTGAGCTGTCCCATCATGCCTCTATGATCCCAGTGAGATCATAGCCCTGTAACTGCACACAGATCTCTTAATTCCTTCTGGTTTTCCCCTATGCTGCATGCATTAATGTACAGACACTTCAGAGAGGCACACAGTTGTGTCAATTTCCCAGAAAGTAATCATACGAAAATATCTCATTTGTCTCATCTAGAGAAGAGAACACTTGCAATTATATTCCACTACTGAGAAATGACCTGATAGCTCTTCCTGACAATCACATCAGGTTAATTACGCTGAAGGTGACAGAATCTATTCAATATCATGTGTTAAATAGTGGACATGACTCAACACTCAGGTTTTGAAAAGAATATGCAGCTTTATTGCACTTGCTTTGTTATGTTATTAAAAAAGCCAACCAAACAAACAAAACCTGACAGACAAAAAAACACAAACTCCCTAACCCCCCTAAAAAACCCAAACTCAACCAACAAAACAGGAAAAAACACGCAACAGAAACAAATAAACAAACAAACAAACAAACAAAAATCCCCAAACCAAAACCCCCCACAACAGTCAGGATAAAACACATCAAAATTCATGACACTGGTTCAGCATTTCAGAGAGAAAAACAATATACAGCAATAGAGCATGTGGTAATGCTGGTTGAAAGGGAATGATGAAGGTCAAGTCAGCCTAGGTTTTGTTTAGACAAATCTCAAAATTTTTAAAGGATGGAGGATACGCAACTTCTCAAACTGCAATTTATGGCCCATGTTCCTTGTTACATCATTTGGCACAATGAGCCATCCATTAGGATGAATTTGGATCCATCATCTTTGTAATCTAGTAGTCGTAGGTTATTAGATCTCCCACCCCCGCATGAGAGGAAGTTCAAACTGGACATTTGTAAAAGGTTCTTCACTGAGAGAGTGGTTGGGTATTGTAACAGGCTCCCCAGGGAAGTGGTCATAGAAATAAGGAGGACAATGAAGATGGTGAAGGACCTTGAGGGGAAGCCATATGAGGAGCAGCTGAGGTCACTTGGTCTGTTCAGCCTGGAGAAGAGGAGACTGAGCGGAGACCTTATTGCAGTCTACAACTTCCTTGTGAGGAGAGGCTGACACTGATGTCTTCTCTGTGGTGACCAGTGACAGGACTCGAGGGAATGGCCTGAAGTTGTGTCAGGAGAGGTTTAGGTTGGATATTAGAAAAGGGTTCTTCACCCAGAGGGTGGTTGGGTACTGGACTCGGCTCCCCAGGGAAGTGGTCACAGCCTGCCAGAGTTCAAGAAGCGTTTGGACAATACTCTCAGGCACATGGTGTGATTCTTGGGGATGGTCTGCACAGGGCCAGGTGTTGGACTCAATGATCCTTGTGGGTTCCTTCCAATTTGGTATATTCTATGATTCTGTGATTAAGTCTCTCAGATTTTAAGGGGCATTTGGACAACACTTTTAGTCATATGGCTTAGTTTTAGGTACTCCTGCAAGGAATAGGGCATTGGACTTGATCCAGATAGGTCCCTTCCAACTTGAGTTACTCTCTATGATTCTGTGATCTCTTAGCCCCTTCTCTGGAGGAACAAATAGGTCTCCACCCTTATGTACTCCTCAGAAATTCATACCTGACCATATGCAGAACCTTCTTCAATTCCTCAATACCTTTCTTGAACTGTAGAGCCTATAACTGGACCAGGATCCAGATATGGCCTCTCCAACACAGAACAGAGTGAAATAATAGCTTCCCTCAATCTGTTGGCCATACATCTCCTACTGTAGTCCAATGTGCAGTTTGTTTTTTTCATGATGAAAGCTCAGTGTTGGATCATTAGTACCCACTGTAAACACCAGGTCCTTTTGCAACCTCACAACCCGCACTGATGTGTGGGGTCACTCTGTTCCCAAGTTCAGAGATTTGCACTTCTTGAACTTAATGTGATTTATGCTGGCCAAGTTGTCCAGTAATTAAGCTGTTTCTGGAATGACTGTAGTATTACTTTCTGTTACTCTTTATGTCACTCACAAGTTACTTCTTCTGCTACAAGGCTTTGGCCTTCCTGATATCAGTCACAAGTGTCTAAACAGTATCGCTATACTTCTCCATCATTTCCTCTTCTTGTTTCTATGACTTTTTTGCAGCCTTCTTGCACTTTAGTTGAGCAGTGAGCATATTGTTTAGTCATGTAGGGGGTTGGCCAAAATGTTGAATTATTCAAGAGATGTAAGCTTAAGATGATGTTGAATGACTGGACATAATTATAAGTTCAAGTTATCTTCATAGATAAACAAAGGCACATGAACTTTCAGCCTCTTGTTACAATAAAACTTTGGAAGTCCTGTTGATTGAGAATGGGCATCTTGAGCAACTGGAGAAGTTGTTCTTTAAGCATCAGCAAAGAATAATAACGTAATATGGTCAAATATCAGCAGAACGGATCTTAGCAGCAAACCTGAAAGAGAATGAAAGGACCTGAATATGAGAAAATGGTTCTGAGGATTACAGTTTGCAAATATATAATTGCAGTGCTCTTCATGAAGAAAAAAGCTCTGCAACGACAGTCTAATATAAATGGATATAGGAGCATCACTGGTTATCACCGATGCAGAAAACAAGGCCAAAAGAAGGGGCAAGTCTGAGTTTGCTGCAGAAAAATCTGTACAATAATTGCCTCTTCACTGATGCACTGAAGACAGGCTGTTGGCCCTCCACAGCTATATTTGGTTAGCTTGACAAGGTTTTCCTAGCAGGTCTCCAGGGGTGATTTCTCTGAGGAACTGCTAGAAGCTTCTCCTATGGGAAGTCCGATGGAGCCCATACCAGCTGTCTCCAAGACTCACCATCAAGAATTGTGTGTTTCAAGTTACCAGTGCTAAGGCACTTTGCTGGAAGAGCTAGAAGTCCTGGATTCCAAGCCTTCTTTGACAAATTTTACCAATTGCATATTTTATCAAGTTATCTATGATTGCTATCACTGAGATGACCCCCTTAGCCTTGAAAGTCATGCTCATTTGGTTATTGCTTCTTTCTCTTACTCAGTGATCTTCAGAAATCTTCTTGCCCACATAAGCATTTCAACAGAAAGGACAGATTGTTCTATCGCTTTGTTTTTTTGAGGGAGTTGTTTTGTTTCTGAAAAAGATGTCTCTAATTTCATCTGAACATAATTTTTAAATTTTTTTAGGTGAAATTTAAATAGATGCTGAGTTATCAGAGGCTCTCCAGGACCCATAGTCCTTGGAGAGTTCCTAAGAAAGTTCTTAGCCTACAAAAACCCCCGAACATTATGTCAATGCTGTTGCAATTTACAAACCTGAGGGAAAAGTGGAGGATGACAATGATTAATGTCCCTTCTCTCCAGTCATATCACTGGAAACTGGAAGAGATAATAAATAAGGAAATACTGTATATGGATGACATCACCGCTTTCAGTCTGAGGGACAGGATTTGCAATTTTCTCTGTACTCAAGTGTTCTAAGTTTTGGAGGAAAGCCTTCACAGGAAGGGAAGAAATTAAGACCTGCACAAGGGGGCAGAAAATTGCTATTAACAGAATCAGCTATTTATACTGCCTGACTTTATAAAATCTGTAAATCCTTGGTTCCAGAAGCTGCAAATTCAATCCCTATTGAGATGATGGGGGACAAAGTTATTTATGTTGACTACAACTGCTGCCATTTCCATAACAGTAACAGTCAGAGAGGCAGAGTTATCTCCATGAAGGTAGTCACTGTCTTGAAGAACCAGAATTCTAAGAGAGTGATTCAATTGCCTAAACATAGGCATTTATTGTTATTTCAGATGACCTGAAAGACAGCCGTGAGGGCAGATACTTAGGGAGAGGCTGTTAGAGGCCAGGTAGGGTATGCTTGAGTTTCTAAAATAGTATCTGATACTTATGTTTAGGTGGCTGACCTACCCATTTTCAATTTTTCCTTAAAGCTGCTGCCTCTGGAAAATGTATTCCATATCTTAACTGAGACTATATTTTTAGTCCAGCTATCAAAGACGATGAGATTCATAGAATCATAGTTTTCATGGGGTTTTATATGCAAACATACTTTTCTGTCTATCCATATTTTCTATTTAATAATTTTTGAACAATTCCAGTCAATTTGACAGATGGACACTGGCTTCAAAGGCATTAACAACCTCCAAGTGTCATGAAAACAGGCTGGATGAACAACCCTATTAGTGCCCTGACAAGAAAAAGAGTATGGTATGAATTTTATCATAGACACATAGTATGAGCACTCCAGCAGCATGAAAACTTCATGTGGCATTAGCAGCTCCATAAACAGCAATAAGTCCAACTACAGGAAGCCAGACTTCATCAGTTCCACTGCTCACAGAGCAATTACACTTGTTATCACACCACAACCTTCTCCATTACCACTACCCAACCAACAAGGAAGTTCAGCATGGTATAAGAAACAAGAAAGAAAAAATTTTAAAAGAGGCAAAGGCTCTAAACAAAATGCAAAACCAAAGATCTGCAGGGTCAGAGAAAGACTCAAGGTTTTATTCTTATATATTCAAAGAAGAAAACTGAAATAAAAATAAAGAAAAATAAGAAGTGTGTAGTAACACATTTGTATCTGAACTAAAAGAAATTTTCACAAGTACTCATAAATATCCAATGAATATGGTATTAAATGTGTTAGTAGTTGGCACTTGCAAAGTCTTGTGGAAACAATTCTACCACGTCTAACTGGTTGTCCCACACTTGTTTTTATGGCTATTGCAAATCTCTTCCTTGCTTGACAGAGGAAGCCCTTGGCACTCTAACTTAGTTTTACAAGTAAATTCCATGTAAATGAAAATTAATTGTTCCCCTAATCTTTCTGCTGGGGCTTTTAATTTTTGTTTTTTGCCTGTGTTATACCTATAAAAGGCAGCCATGTCCTTGTCTACTTTCGGAAGTACTTGCATGTTGTCTTTGTTCTGCATAGGAAAGAGATGATTGCTTGCAGATCTGGGGGAATAAACATACAAACATTTGTTTAGAGATTAATTGCTAACAGAATCACAGAAGTTAGAAAATGACAGAATTATACCGTCTGTGAAATTTTCCTTTTTCTCTCCCTACATTATGGTGCCATGTTTAATGGAATGCTTTAATACATCATTTTATTCCAATGGAAACCATTTTTCCCACTAACTACCGTTGACTTTGTTTCAGATAGCTTGGTGTCTATAGTTTCTTTTGCATCAGCACAGAGATTTTATCACAGCTGCTTAGACTGGCTGATTAGCAATTTAATGGGATTTAGCTGACCAGAAATGAGAGCACAGACAGCTCTAATGCCTAAAAGGCTGTTAGATTTATATAAGCCTTCTTACTAAATGGGTTGCCTCAGGTATTACAGCAACCATTTCCTGAATTTTGAGCCCAAATGGATATATACTTCTGCTTATACTGGAATTTAGGAAGTGACAGACAGAAGGCTTTAATTGGATTAGTCTACTGGTCTACAATGTAAATTTAGTATAACAGTAAGTAATAGTATCCAATATAAATATTTCCTTAGGTTTGGGGACCTAGAACTGTCCTACAGGCAACAATTCTGATTTAAGTGCAGTGGTGTAGATATAATTAAGGGAGCACACCGACTTAGTATGGATAAACGACTTATATAACCTTGCACACTCTAATTGAGAACAAGCTTTTACAAAGTGTAACAACAGGATGATGCATAGAGGAAAAGGAATACAGTGAGCAGAAGTAATGATGTGATCTAAAGCACATGTAAAGATTTTCATTACAAAGCATTGGTCACATTTTTTCTTTTATCTCCATATACTGGAATATTACATTTGATCTTTTCTCCATTTTGCCACTCGATTTGACAGTGTGGAGAAAAAGACACGTTGAAAAACTCAGTTGTTTCTGATGTGTTGTCTGATTAGTCATCCACGTACTGGTTTCTTACTAATAGAGATTCATCAAAGTAATTCAGAAGAAACTTTGAATTGTTTGAAGCCCAAAGGTATCCTATATGGATTTATTCATTCTTGGGATGAATGGGATGGACTTAAATCTCTTGAGGCCCCAAAAAAACTCATAAAAATACAACTCTATTTCTATAAATTTATTATTTTAAGCTGATAGAGATTTCATCTGAATGCTTACTCATGTATAAAGAAATACTCTGCAGCAAAAATTGCCTACTCCTTACCATTAAATTACCTGTACATTGAACCAAAGGACATCATTCTTCACCATCCTACTGTCAATATATAGCATAGTACATGTAAAAATAAAGGATAAACCACTGATATCTTGAGGACTGTCCTCATCAAAGCTTTTACATAGATGTGAATGATTTTAAAGTGTGCTAGGCATGAAGCCTGATTCCTTCCTTACCCTTAGCAACGTGACCAGAGGAGCCCAAAGTAACCTGGACAACAGGTATCCTTGGGTTATCTGGTGAAAATCTCAGCTAAAAAAGATTCAGAAGTAGACAGTCACGGTGAGTTTTCTTCAGGAAGGGCCAAGCCCTCCTGACATTTGTTTAAAAGTCTTTCTATACCATTGCTGAATCAGTCAGAGAGAATAGGGAAATTATTGTCTCCAACTGAAGTATCAGGCATTATCTGTTGCCACAAGCATGATCGGAGATTTTATTGTTCTATTCTGGCATGGCAAAATCTGCAGTGAATTCTTGACATTAGTCTGACTGATGCTGTAAGCATAGCTTGCCTACTCTGTTAGTCATCTCTTAAAAAGAAATTGCTGTGTCTCCTGCAGTTACCTTGACAATTCACAAGGCAAGATATTTTTTAATGCAAGTTTACCAAGAAAGTGCATGCTGTACATTGCAGTCAAATGGATCCAATACTCCATTAGCATAAATTACATTGTCACTCAGGTAGAGTAGGCTGTACATATGCAAAACACTATGGAAATGTTTTTACCATTCAGCAAAATGATTTGTAGAAGTTATATGGATATGCACGCATTTCTTTCATGGTTTTAGAGTCCTGCTGTCTATGTGTCCTCATTTGCAACAATAACCAGTCTACAACAAACCTCACATAATTAAACTGAACAGAATGGTACTTTCTTTAGCAAGGGTAATTGTTCATACACTGCCTCTGTGTAATGAGTCACCATAAACTAAAGGACATGTTAATAAGTATGCACAGCTGGCACTTTGGACTGGATTCTGCCTAAATAAGGACCGCTTAGCAAAACATTCCAAGCATCATGATCTTTCAAGCCACAAAATAGCCTCAATTAGGAAGAAGATTTTACACTGCAGTGTTTATCTCCCCTTGCATTTTCATCATGAGCAGCTGAGATTTTAAACACCCAGAAGTTTCTCTACTGCTGGAATGTGAAACATGTTCACCTTCACAAATTTTTAATAAAACCATACCTTCACCTAGTATTTTTAAAAATTACTCTGAGTACTCCCCCACTTATATGTGCTGGCTGGGCTCTTCTAAAATATAACACACTTCATGCACTTACCTAATTGGCAGATGGATTTTAGTCAGGTTTATCGACCTCAGAAAGAAATTAATAACTGCTTTGGTCTCGCTCATGCAGTTACTCAAATAATATTTTCAATTCTATATAGAAAGTTACAAAAATGTAACAGGAATGAAAAAAATAAAGGACTTGTAGTATGGAGACCTTAGAATGATTATGAAAATCAGGGTTGCAAACCCCTTGTGTATCAGCAAAATGATATTTGGAGGACAGAGGGAAATAAACACAGTAAAACATTAGTAGGATATTTAGGAGGATATTTTCTGAAGTTTAGACTATATGAACTGATAACCTTCATTTCCTACTTGAAAAATTACATCTTGAACTGTAACATGGGCATCAGAGGGCAAAAAACTACAGACAGGGGTTGAAGAAGCTCTAGTTTTCAGGAAGTTATTCTGCTTAGTAAATGCCATGAAGCACATTCCCAGATGAGTGTCATGGTGGACAGAGTTCAGCTGGAAGTGTACTATTGGGATTTCATAGACCATATTTATTTGGAGTTCACTACTGTCTTCTAGAAAAAGCCCATCTGATTAAAGGCTACTTTAAAGAATTACTTTAGAATGTGTTTCAGTCATGACCTGTTTGACATTAATGAAATAACTCATCAGCACCCATAACGTTCAACTCAGCAACTGAAATGTTGTTCAGCAAAAGCGAGTAACTTTTGATTGTGCAGTCACTAAGTAAAAATTTTTAGCAGTGTGTATAGGTGCAAATAATTTTATGTGGAAATAAAAATTATCAGAAAAAGATGTGACACAAGGTAACATCATTTGCCGTAACAGTTTTCCAGTGAAGAATGGGAGATGATGGATATAAAATGCAACTAGCTGCCTCCAATGGCACTGCCACTGAGTCGTGAGGTTGTTACTCCCAGTCAGAAGAATGAGGCTAAGCTTCAATTTAATTCAGAAAAGGAGTAGAAAAAGAAGGAAATAGATATTCAATACCCAGGTTCTGAAATGGAATATACAACAGACAATAAATGGCTCACATATAGCTGCAGGATGAACCAAGCATCAAACAGAAGCAGAAAGGAAGGTAGAAAAGACTAGACTGAGGGGGAATGGGCTGTTTCCATAATCTTAGTGTTACTGATTATTCATGTGCTGAAGAAAAATACATCCAGAAATGTAATGCTGCAAGTAAACATTTTGAAATAATCTTGGTGAAATATTTTAGACAGCTAGTCATATCTGTGATCAGCAACCAGAGAGGAGAACAGTCTTTCCTCCTGCATCATAGGCTCTCTCCTCTAATATCTGTTAAATTACCCACTTCCTTACGAATACCAGTTTGTGCCAAGTGTTCTGTGACACTGACCTCTTGTTAAGTGTCAGTAAAATACAGTATGAAGATTTATTGACTGGAATGGTAAGCAGCAAGTCAGGATGCCTTGATGTGGAAGCAATATAAGGCAGCTAGCAGTCAGGCATGTTGCCTACTTCTGCACCGACCACGTCTCCCTGACATTCTCCTGCCAAAAAGCATACATCATCTTAGTGACCCTGAACCCATATCTGACTCACATCGAAGTAAAATTGAAAACAAAGCACCAGGGCAGGAAAGTTCATCAAAGCACATTCTTCATGGGGACTTAGGCAAGATGAGCTCAGACACCTAACTCATACGTTGCTTACTGTGCCCAGTGTGGCTTATAAGGGACTCTTTATTTACATTAACCTTAAAAATACATAGAATCATAGAATCATAGAATCAGCTGGGTTGGAAGGGACCTCCGAGATCATCAAGTCCAACCCTTGATCCACTACTGCCGTGGTTACTAAACCATGGCACTGCCACATCCAGTCTCGTCTTAAAAACCTCCAGGGATGGACAATCCACCACTTCCCTGGGCAGCCCATTCCAATGCCTGATTACCCTTTCTGTAAAGAATTTCTTCCTAATATCCAAACTAAACCTCCATTGGCATAGCTTAAGACCATGCCCTCTTGTCCTACTGCTGGTTGCCTGGGAGAAGAGACCAACCCCCACCTGGCTACAACCTCCTTTCAGGGAGTTGTAGAGAGTGATGAGGTCTCCCCTGAGCCTCCTCTTCTCCAGGCTGAACAACCCCAGTTCCCTCAACCTCTCCTCACAGGAGAGTCCCTTCACCAGCCTTGTTGCCCTTCTCTGGATCTGCTCCAGCACCTGAACTGAGGGGCCCAGAACTGGACACAGCACTCCAGGTGTGGCCTCACCAGCACTGAGTACAGGGGAAGAATCACTTCCCTGGACCTGTTGGCCACACTGTTCCTGATCCAGGCCAGGATGCCATTGGCCTTCTTGGCCACCTGGGCACACTGCTGGCTCATATTCAACTTCCTTTCAATCCAAACTCCCAGGTCCCTTTCTGCCTGGCTGCTCTCCAGCCACTCTGTCCCCAGCCTGTAGCGCTGCAGGGGGTTGTTGTGGCCAAAGTGCCGGACTCGGCACTTGGCCTTGTTGAACCTCATCCTGTTGGAGGATGT